GCAGTACCATTACTCCAGTCAGTTTCTTGGTAGTTAAAATCCCCCATTATTATCACTGCCCCAGCCCTTGCAGCCATTTCAATCTCTGCAAGCAGCTGAATCTCCACCTCCTCATTAACACCTATATCAAACTCCAATGATTACCTTTGTAGTACACACCCCCATGTGCAGTTCCACCCATAATGCTTCAGCCTCATTACACTCTCCATCAACTAGGTCCTCTGTCACACTCGCTCTGAGATCGCTTCTCACATAGAGGCAGACACCACCACCTTTCCTATTTACCCTGCCTCTCCAAAACAGAACATAGCCAGGAATATTAATGGCCCAGTCATGTGAAGAATGAAGCCAAGATTCAGCAATACAAATTAAATCATAGTTCTCTTCATGCACCAAAGCTTCCAACTCACCTATTTTGCTTGGCAGACTTCTGGAATTGGTGAACAAACGCTTTAACTCACTGACACCTTGTGCACACAGTTTCTGTGCAGGAAAAAAACAGCCTGTTCTATTTTTTTTTCTGCATCCGGATTGCACTGGAACTGCAAGCCCTGATTTGAACTATGACATTGACAACCATATAACCTACTTTCTGTGCATTTTGGATGCAGAAATGTAATGTGCAAGGCTGGTGTGCCCTCTGTTTTTGTTTTTTCCAGTGTTACAATTTGTGCTTCCCCAGCATATACCCCTTGGTGAAAAAAATTATCTGTGCCACTTGGGAACAGGTTAAATAATAAATTAATTGTTTTACCTCTTTTTGGGCAAAAAACGCTTAGTATTAATTAATTTGTCAATTGCTAATCGCACATCTAAGAAGTTGTTTATTGAACTTGCCTATCAGCTGCTTTAAAACATCAATTCATTTTGGATTAGCGCTGCTTTTTTAAAATTTGCTTTGCAGTTATACAAGATCCATAACTGATTTCACGGAATCCTTGATTGATATTCGTGATTATGTACAGATATAACAATATTCAATGCATCATCTGCATCTCACAGCCAGAAAAACCCTAAACCCTGCCTTGGGTTTTTTATCTTTGTGTCTATATAAAACATGCAGTTGTTCAAGCACTTGCTCCTCACATATGTCTGCACATGGGGTTCTTGGGAGGGCAGTTTATGCAGCTGCACATTACTGAAAATTCAGCAGCAATGTTTCACCCATATTATAATGAAAGCGTGCTTTGCTTTTGTATACACAGCAAACTACACAAAGATTCCAGGTTTTTTTTAACTTTGTGTGTGCAGTGTGTTTAGAAAAGTTCCAAAAAGTGAATTTGTGAATAAATGACCATCAATCTGAGCTACAAATTGAATAGAACCATAAACTGGAAAGGGCAAGTTATAAAGAAAACAAATTTGACTATACATGTACAAAAAAATATTGATTTTTGCTATACAGGTTTGGACAGTGGTTAAAATGGTTATAACATAGTAATTTAAAATATTTATTAAAGTTTCTAAAGGTGCTTTTTACACAGGCGTGAAGCTCTGAGTATGAGCAACATGCATAGAAACAACTACCAAAAATGACACTGTTGATGCCTGTTAGCATTTTTCTTCACTACAGCAAATCAAGGGGGTTCCTGCATTATGTAGCAATAGGTAATGTGGGGCTGACAGACACAGGAATACTACTGTCTCCATTTATAAACTAGCAGTAAATGGTCTGGTGTTTTGTATACTGTATGTCTTAAAGGATCCACCATTTATGATGGCGAAGAAAGAGGTCCACTGACTGCCAGTAGGGTATTTTAGCTGGCAAATGTTTGCAGGCATGGAGTTCGCAGACCTTAAGGTCTCTGAAAGAGCATCATTCTTTGTTGTATTAAAATGAGAAATTGCACCACTTCATGTGCGGAGACATGAACATGGCTCCTTACTCCTAGCCAATTCCCATGTCCTTGTCCCTTCTCCAGACATAGGCTCTCTGTGGCATTGTTTGAAAGAGAACTTACATATCCACTGTTACAACTATGATGGCTAAAGAAAATTGAAGATATTGGGTAATAAAAGTACAACCTGCATTCTAACAAGCAATCGCGCAGTTGTCCTTGCTGCTGGCATTCTAGCACCCAATGCCACTCTGTGGCATGGCCTTCAGTGTCATAGCAACCAATAAAGTTGTGTATCCCAGCCATAACTTCCTAGCAATTTAATGATGAAGGGGCAAAAATGGCTGCCTCAGGCAGCATCTGTCCCAGGCTGGCTCTGTCTCCGTGATCTCCCAGGTCCCAACTATTCCTTTCTTGTCCTGGAGTTTTACTAAGCTGCATCTTCTGAAGTGTAGAATAAACTAAAATGCCTTCTGAGATTTAAAGTGGTTCTAAAGGCTCTTGATTTTTTTACCTTCATGCATTCTATGCATGAAGGTATAAAACCTTTTCTGGGCAACATCTCCCTCAGCCCCCCCCCCCAATACTCACCTAAGCTCCTTCTCGATCCAGAGATGTTCACTGGAGTCTTGGCTATCCCAGGAGTCCCTCTTCTCATTGGCTCACACTATTGTCAGACACACCCAGGAAGCCAATGAGAAGAGAGGGGGTGGGGCTGAGTTGTAGCTCCATGTGTGAATGGACACACAGAGCAGCAGGTTCCCCCATAGCAAGATGCTTGCTGTGGGGGCACCCGACAGGAGGGAGGGGCCAGGAGAGCCTGTGGAGACCCAAGAAGAGGAGGATCTGTGCAAAACCACTACAGAGAGCAGGTATGTATAACATGTTTGTTATTTTTTTATACAAAAAATAAGACTTTAGAATCACTTTAAGACTCTTAGTGGCTGAAAAACATGGTTAGATTTGCAAATTCAAGATTTCACTACTGGAGTTCTAAGTGTAGGTATTTATAGGTGCTTGCTTTATTATGTTAAGGAATTTTGTTTTAATCTTTCTTTGGAAAAGTAACATCAAATACAGGTAGCAAGGCTGCGTTTTTATAAAGCTTATCTTTTTAATTACCTATATGCTGTAATACCTCCTCACTGGTACTGTCCCCTGTGGCGATGCTGTTCTGCCCCAAGATGTCATCAGTCTTGTGAACTGAATGACATCCATCATCATTCAACATAGAAAACTAAGGATATGCTCAGAGTGTAGGTTGGGCTTGCCCCCAAAGGGAGCATCACCACAGTTCCTTGCACTCAGTCTAATGATGCAGAAAGCTTTGCTGATGTGCCACCCAGCATCAGGGAGGACAAAGAGGACCCTGTGTGCTACATGCCCAGCCTGAAGATATCTGGAAAAGGTAACTTTACAAAAACAGAACCTAAAATCCATACAGGTGGAGGTGATTGGCTGGTGTGGATATGCAGAATTTAGACTAAATCCAGGTGTGTAAAAAGCCTAGTGAATGGAATAAAATCGATGCACGTGTATCCTCCTGGCATGTGCTTGTGTTTAAAGCCTTTGTTTCCTGAAGTACAAGCTGCACTGCATATTAGCATTTCATAAATATTAAGAATAAATGGCTTTTGTCTGCAACAAAATATAATACCAGTCCATAGGATACAGGGTGTACTGCCATCAGTAATTCTGGTGTTAGCTGGAACATGACATTTTGGACTGTAATGCTAATATCTTAATCAATGTATTAGTGTGAAAATAAACAAATCAAATATTTGATAACTATTTATTTGGCATTTAATTTACATTTAGGTCTATGGTTTTAATTGGAAGCCTGGAAATAATCCTGGTTTCAACAAACAGTTTAATCAGTCTGTAAATCGTCTTTTTGTTTTACTGGAATGACATAGCAGCATGCAGCAAATATTCCTCACAGCCAAAGTGTTTTTCAAGTCATGACCATAGAAAGACCTACTTATGGCCAAATATGGCTACAACCACTGAGCCAATTTACAGCTATGAACACCCTAATGTCACTAAAGAAATGCTTTGAATAGATGTGTGATGTCATGACATGCCGATACCTGCAGCCCATCTTTACATTAACAGTGGCTGATAAGCTGACCACTGGCACTGTTGAAAATACTGAAATTATGTTTTTTGGCCACTGATAATGGTTATACTGTATTTACCCTGGTCTGTAGAAGTTGCCCACTAATGACCATGTTGCACTTGGTTCAAGCCTACAATGTTTGCTTACAAATTTCTACTCTGAACTTCCAAGGTTCTTCACTTTTGCAACAACGAAAATGGCTTGATTTGTCGGGTGTTTGACTTCTCTTGTTAGAAGTTCAGGAAATCTAAGCTTTATAATGAATTATATTGAAGTCTAACTGTGAATCATGATAGCAAATTCTGCCTACTTTAGGACAAATAGGCAAGCTCTTGTAAGTAGATGTGTGTATTTCATTTTGTAACAAATTGATTTTTGTCAGAAAATGTGATTTTCGGAGATTTAGATGTATACTACATGCATTCATTTCATTCAGAAAACGTCACATAATTCGATAGTAGTTCAGGCCCATGGAGAAATGAAACACTGCACAAAACATAAATAACACAAAGAGGGTACAAATGCTTAGCACATTAACCTTGACAATTATATTGGAAGATTTAGTAGACCGTAGATATACTCACAAGTCTAGTGAGCTATAGGCATGTAAATACATAAAGCGCATAATGTAAGAGTCTGCTCATCTTCATCAGAGCTATGGCTAGTGTCTCCCAAGCCTCAACTTCCTTAATTATCATGATTTTGTTGGAGAATCCGCCTACCATCAGAGGGCGGAAAAAAATAGGAAAAGGAATGGAGTTTCTTGAAGGAGACACTGCCTACTGACTTACTTTATGTACACCAAATTCATAGCATGATGACAACATGTAATGTACAATCCACCGGATATAATCCAAATAAGTAAAAACACAAATAATAATAATAAATTATATCAATGATCGTTAATGATTAGAGATGAGCGAATTATTCAAAAATTCGATTCGGCTGATTCGCCGAATTCGCGGAATAAATTCGATTAGAGGCGAATATATTCGCTGCGAATTTAACTTATAAAAAGGGTGTTTCTAGGCTTCAGAGAGCCTTTATATTAGTAGAGAACACTGTACCTTTAATTTAAATGCCCTTGGAGTCTGCTGGGGAAGAGAACTAATACTGTCAGTCAGTATGACATGCAGATGAGTGCCGTCGATCTTAGAATCACCGCACACTTCACTCATTTGGGCAGTCACGGGGCCAAAACCAGAGTGTGGAGCCACAGTGTGGCGGTGGAGGCAGCAGCAATGGGAGGCCATACAGCACCCTATGACAAAATGGAACCCACCAGCAGTGTGAGGAGACCTGAAAGTGGCACATGGCAGAGTGTGGCGATGGAGACAGCAGCAATGGGAGGCCGTACAGGGACCCATGACACACTCTGGACCTGGCAGCAGCATGAGGAGGTGGTACAGGGGCCCATGACAGATTACGGGCCTGGCAGCAGCAGTGGGCGGGCGGTGGATGCAGCAGTATTCGGAAGCCAAACACAGGCCTCGGTTAAAAAGCGGAAGCCGTCAGCAGCGTGAGCAGACGACAGAGGCACATGGCGCAGGGTGGCGGTGGAGGCAGCAATATTTGGAAGCCATACACAGGCCTAGGTTAAAAAGCGGAAGCCGTCAGCAGCGTGAGCAGACGACAGAGACACATGGCGCAGGGTGGCGGTGGATGCAGCAGTATTCGGAAGCCAAACACAGGCCTCGGTTAAAAAGCGGAAGCCGTCAGCAGCGTGAGCAGACAACAGAGGCACATGGCGCAGGGTGGCGGTGGAGGCAGCAGTATTCGGAAGCCATACACAGGCCTAGGTTAAAAAGCGGAAGCCGTCAGCAGCGTGAGCAGACGACAGAGACACATGGCGCAGGGTGGCGGTGGATGCAGCAGTATTCGGAAGCCAAACACAGGCCTCGGTTAAAAAGCGGAAGCCGTCAGCAGCGTGAGCAGACGACAGAGGCACATGGCGCAGGGTGGCGGTGGAGGCAGCAGCAATGGAAGGCCATACAGCACCCTATCACAAAATGGAACCCACCAACAGTGTAAGGAGACCTGAAAGTGGCACATGGCGCAGGGTGGCGGTGTAGGCAGCAGTATTCGGAAGACATACACAGGACTAGGTTAAAAAGCGGAAGCCGTCAGCAGCGTGAGCAGACGACAGAGGCACATGGCGCAGGGTGGCGGTGGATGCAGCAGTATTCAGAAGCCAAACACAGGCCTCGGTTAAAAAGCGGAAGCCGTCAGCAGCGTGAGCAGACGACAGGCACATGGCGCAGGGTGGCGGTGGAGGCAGCAGGAATGGGAGGCCATACAGCACCCTATGACAAAATGGAACCCACCAGCAGTGTGAGGAGACCTGAAAGGGGCACATGGCAGAGTGTGGCGATGGAGACAGCAGCAATGGGAGGCCGTACAGGGACCCATGACACACTCTGGACCTGGCAGCAGCATGAGGAGGCGGTACAGGGGCCCATGACAGATTACGGGCCTGGCAGCAGCATGAGGAGTCGGTACGAGGGCCCATGGCAGATTACGGGCCTGGCAGCAGCATGAGGAGGCGGTACAGGGGCCCATGGCAGAGGGGCCCCTGTACCGCCTCCTCTTGCTGCTGCCAGGTCCAGAGTGTGTCATGGGTCCCTGTACGGCCTCCCATTGCTGCTGACTTCATCGCCAGACTCTGCCATGTGCCACTTTCAGGTCTCCTTACACTGTTGGTGGGTTCCATTTTGTGATAGGGTGCTGTATGGCCTTCCATTGCTGCTGCCTCCACCGCCACCCTGCGCCATGTGCCTCTGTTGACTGCTCACGCTGCTGACGGCTTCCGCTTTTTAACCGAGGCCTGTGTTTGGCTTCCGAATACTGCTGCATCCACCGCCACCCTGCGCCATGTGTCTCTGTCGTCTGCTCACGCTGCTGACGGCTTCCGCTTTTTAACCTAGGCCTGTGTATGGCTTCCGAATACTGCTGCCTCCACCGCCACCCTGCGCCATGTGCCTCTGTCGTCTGCTCACGCTGCTGCCAGGTCCATACTGATTCATGGCCCCCTGTACCGGCTCCTCATGAACGTGGTTCAGCGGGTTTGCATCACTTAACGGCAAATCGTTGACAAACGCTGGGACGTTCAGTGTTGTGCGCATTAAGCCAGACACCAAAGGGCAGCACAGACCTGTTATTACTCGCTCAAACATGGCTGAACAAAACCAGTCTCTACCACAAATTGGACCCAGACCTGCCCAGGGTCTCGTAAGTAGATTGCACGGAGGAGTAGAGTTCGTTATTGGAATTAACTGTGAGGGACTTTTAAACCTAGGCCTGTGTATGGCCTTCAATTGAAGCTGCTTCTGCTCCGCCACTCTGCCATTGGACTCTTGATAGTGTAGGGTTGATTCCACCTTGTTGCAACGTCGCAGATCAGGCGATGCTGTGGAATTCCGTTCTGCCGCTGCAGCTCAAGGAGGGTGTGCTTTGCGGTGTAGGAATGGCTGAAATGCATGCAAAGTTTACGTGACATTTTAAGGATGTCTTGCAGTGGGATGGTGGATTTTAGGAACCGCTTGACAACCAGATTGAACACGTGAGCCATGCATGGCGCATGGCACAACCTTCCTTGACGCAGAGCAGACACCATGTTCTTTCCGTTGTCGGTCAACATGGTTCCGATTTTCAGTTTGCGCGGCGGACAGCCATCTGTCGATTTCTCTGTTCATTACACTCAGAAGTTCCTCCCCTTTGTGACTACGTTCGCCAAGGCATACCAGGTGCAGCACAGCGTGACACCGTTGCGCCCTGCACATGTGATATGCCGGTCGGGTAACGGCGGAAGAAGAGGTGGTAGAGGCGGACATCTTTGCTGGACCAAGGACGTGCAAACGTGCAGGCAAAAGCGCGTGACCTGTCCAAGTTGCTGGTGCGGCTGTGCCGGCACCACGTTCACCCAGTGGGCCGTAAATGACATGTACTGTCCCTGACCGTAGTTACAGCTCCACGCGTCGGCGCTGCCGTGCACTTTGGCAGAGACCGACATGCTCAAAGACTGGCCCACCATCTCTTCTACATGTGAATGCAGGGCTGGCACTGCCTTTTTGGCGAAGAAATGCCGGCTTGGCACTCTCCACCGCGGCTCGGCACAAGCCATCATTTCTCGGAAAGGTGCTGAGTCCACCACTTGGAAAGGGAGGGACTGCAGCACCAGCAACTTGGACAGGAGGACGTTCAGCTTCTGCACCGTCGGGTGCGTGCTCGCAAACTGTTGTCTCTTGGAAACGGATTCCAAGAAAGACTGCTGACGGAATCCGTGAAGAGGAGTAGCAGGAGAAGGAGCATCTGAACGAGCGGAAGATGCCAACGAGCGACAACTCCCCTCAGCAGAGGTGTTGGAGCCTTGACTGGCTGATAGAGGGCGATCGACGTCGGGTGACGGAGCAAGTAACGGAGCGGGTGATGGAGCGGGGGCTGGGGCAGGCAGAACCGCCGTATCTTTATCACGGTTTTCCCAGGCCACCGAATGGCGACGCTGCATATGCTGACGCAACGCTGTAGTCCCAACATGGGCCCCCTGGCCACGCTTGACTTTCTGGCCACATAGTCGACATACGGCTACGTTTACTTCCTCGGGCGGCTTGACGAAAAATTGCCACACCGCCTAGTAGGAAACTTTGCCCCCGCTACTCCTCACTGGCTGACTGCTACTTCCTCCGTGCACACCGGCACCACTACTGGCCGTGGTGGTAGGCTGCAGTGGAGCTGGTGCTCTACTCCGTGGCCGTTTGGCTCCACTGACACTGCTGCGACCCTGCTGCCTCCTGGGCAACCCACTGACTGTTTTGCTCACTGGCAAGCTGGCACCCTCTTCTCCTGATGATGCAGAAGCAATAGCCTGATGACGACGAGGCTGCCAAGTGCGATCAGCCTCATCATCATCAATTAGGGTCTCCGCGTCACTACTAGCCCCCTCGGCTGCGTGTGGGTCAGGAGACAGACCTGTCTCTAGACCGGCTACCGAGCCACTCTCCTCGCCAGTACTTCTTCGCCTGGCTGCTGAAGAGGCGGATGTCTCCCCCCGTTCCTGACCGCCCTCTGTTAGTTCTTCCTCACTGTACAGTGGGGCTGAGCCCACAGCATGCGATACTTCGCTTGGTGAGGGAACACCAAAGGACAGGGGCAGGTAGAGGACACGTGATTTCAGTGGGCTTGCTCCCGGGCCATGCCAACTAACGGTTGTGTCTGACGTACCCACCGACCGTTGGCTGTAGGTGTCAGAGGTGACCTGGGAAGAGGAAGATGACCGAGTCAACCAATCGATGACGGCAGGGTTGTCGGTGGAGACACGACCGCTGGATGACACCGGGAGCACTGGCCTCTGGCTGCGACTAGTGCTGCCTCAACCCCTTCCTCTGCTGCCACGTCTGCTCGCTCCTGAAACATTGCCTCCTCTGCCACTCCTCTGCGTGTTGTCTGACATACTCTTTAATTCAATAAGCACCCCAAACATAAAACAGGATTTAACTCTTTGAACGTACAATAGTGGTTGTGAAGCAGAAAGTAACGATTCTGTGTCCCTGAGTAACAATTCTGTGTCCCTGAGTAACGATTCTGTGTCCCTGAGTAACGATTCTGTGTCCCTGAGTAACGATTCTGTGTCCCTGAGTAACGATTCTGTGTCCCTGAGTAACGATTCTGTGTCTGTCCCTGAGTAACGATTCTGTGTCCCTGAGTAACGATTCTGTGTCCCTGAGTAACAATTCTGTGTCCCTGAGTAACGATTCTGTGTCCCTGAGTAACGATTCTGTGTCCCTGAGTAACGATTCTGTGGCCCTAAAGTCTCTGTGGCCCTAACTCTGTCCCTAATACAGACAGGTCTGTCTCTCTTGAATGACCGGAGGCTAATGGAGAATTCTAAGATGGCCGCGATTTACACAGTGCTGGCTGGCTGGCTGCTGATTGGCTAATGCGATCACATGTCATGAATGAATGCATTATGGGTCAGCGCGCCTTGTCTGCGCGCCTTCCCAGAGTTACCCGCTCCGTCGCCACACATGTCGCCGCCATTTTTGGGAAAATTCGATTCGTGCATCCGAAGTTTGCTAATTTTCGGATTCAGCGCGAATCGAATTTTTCCTAATCTTCGAAACGAATTCCACTTCGTCATGTTCGATTTGCTCATCTCTATTAATGATCATAGTGGAAATGACGTTACTAGCACAGCATTATGAGGGGAGATGTGCAGTATCGACACAATAGGTTCTGTATCGCATAATCACTCATCAGTTCACTCCTCTGTGACACATCTACTGTATATACACATTATTTATATATCTATATCTATATCTATATATATATATATATATATATATATATATATATATAAACACACACTGGGTTTTTTTTTTTAACTACACTCCCCACTGACACCACCAACTGTGGAAGGGAGTTCCATATTCTCACCACTCTGACTGTAAGGACCCCCTTACACAGTTTAAGATTGAACCTTTTTTTGTCCAACTTCATTGTGTGATCACGTGTTACTACTAATGATACTATTTTCATTATCAAGTTCTTGGATATGGTCCCTTTTATCATTCCTTCCAATAGTTTATACACTATTAATGTTAGGCTTACTGGTCTGTAGTTTCCAGGTACTGTTTATGTTGCAGTCCTATTTTGAATATGTGTATCACATTTGCTTATTGCCAATTAGCTGATACCATTCCAGTCAGTAAGCTGTCCCTAAAAATTAGAAAAAATATTGAAAGTGGAGGTAAGCATGGAGGTGGTTAGTAAAAGGGGTCTCAGGTGGAGATGATGTTGAGAGAAGGAGGTGCAGGCACAAAGGGTGGTGAGAGAAAGGGGGTGCAGGCCTGGAGGATGATGAGAGAAGGAAGAGTGCAGGTGTGTGGTGAGTGGTGAGAGCAGGAGGACAGCAGCCGCAGAGAACAGTGAGAGAAGGGGTAATGCAGTCATGATGAGTGCTGAGAGAACGAGGCCTGCAGGTGTGGTGGATCCTACAAAACTGGAGGTAACATGGTTGGTGTTAAGAAAAAGGGGCTGAGGTTTTTGCAGGATGCTGAGAGAAGATGAGTGTAGGGACAGTGCAAGGGGAGAGAAGGGGTAGTGCAGTCATGGTGAGTGCTGAGAGGAGGGCTGCAGGTTTGTGGATTCTACAAAACTGGAAGTGACATGGTTGGTGTTAAGAAAAAAGGGGTGAGGGTTTGCAGGATGGTGAGAGAAGATGGCTGTAGGCACAGTGCAGGGGGAGTGAAAATGAGGGGGCTGGCTGACATTGAATAAGGGGGGTTGGGTAATAGTTGGGGGGGGGATCTAGCTAACCTAGCACGAACTTAGGTTGGGGAAGTGCGGTATGCACAGTAGTTGCTGAGAGGAGGGTGCAAGTGCCATGCAGGAGGGGGTATGGTAGAATGTGCAGTTTGGATCTGCCTGACAGAGCGAAAATGTGTTGGATGATGATGAGCAGGGGAAGGATGACCTTGCGGGAGGGGGGGATGAGCAGGGGAAGGATGACCTTGCGGGAGGGGGGAAGGTTATACTGGGGAAGGGGGGCTGGCTGACTTTGCAGG